TGAGAGCGCAGGAGCCTAACATGAGAAAGATCTCGTTTAGAATTTACAAAAAGGCAATTTAATTGGAATGAAAGATGGCAATCAAATATAACTTGAGAACATATTCACGTGATGTTTAATCGGTTTGCTTGCTTGTGAGTTTAGTGCAAAGTGATGCTGTTGAAGATACCAACCAGAATGAAAATATAAACGAGAGCGATTGGAACTACAACAACACCGAACAGCGGTGTTGACAGCATTATGATGACGATGGTCTGTACCACATTCAGAGCGCAAATCATGAAGAAGTAAAAGTTGCCGGAAAGTCGCAGATCCACAAGTTCAATATCCTGCAAAACAAAACCATCCGTTGCACGTGAAAGGAATCGCTATGAGCGATGTTTTCGTCGATCAACAAGCATCCTTTCAACTAACATCACTTATCATGTATTAGACAAACCATTGACTACGCCCATTTATTCCAAACCTCGCTGACATTTGCTTAATTCGAAGAAAAATGTCTGTGCTAAGAAGGTGAAAATATTTATGAGTAAGGAGGGAGGGAGCGCAGTGTATCGACAGAAATGTATCGAACAATTGGTTCGGATTCAGAATAGTCAATGAATTTCCAGAGATTATGTCTTCTATCGGTCTAAAAATTAACCCGAAAACTCTGATTATTTTTTTCAGGCTGATTCAATTTCATCCACTTATTCGCTCTATGTAAACTCCATCCATCTTGTTGAGAATGCAAACCGAATTGGTTGAATTCAAATTGCAAAGATGCGTTCTGTGTTATCGTGGACACATACCATAACAAAACAAGATTTCTGGACTAGTAACAAATATAGGTGAACAGAAATGGACAATTAATGATGAAAGAGTTGTTCATACTTTGCCGAAACGATTCAGAATGCGTCCAATAGGTGTGACATCAAAGAATAATAACGGTGANGAGGAAATTAAGTTGTGAGAGCATCCCAATACACATAGATTCTAGTTAATTGGATGTGTTCTTGGAAAAGGGAGATTCGTTTTTGCTGAAACTATAGGTGAAACCTCGAAAGGTTGAAAGTTTCGCAAAATGATACTTCAAAATTTAAGGAGAAATATCTATCTCTCACCTTCACTGATCCCAATGCCCGCATAAACAGCAAGTCTTTCTGGCACTGGCGTCACACTCTTATGGCCGCTAGTTAAAGCGTTGTCGTCTGACCTGGGATGAAGAGGAATATTTTATCAGAAGGATAGGCGTTTGTTCATTATGAAACAATAATCTGAATCATACTGAGAGCAAATCGCTCACGATTCTCATACTATTGTGGGACATCCTAAAATGTTTGATTCAGTGATTCAACGAAGTTGATTGTGAGCTGTAATAGTGGCATGCAAAGCTCTTTTAAGAAGTCATCGAGAAAGTTTCACTTATTTGTTCAGTCCTAAAATTAGACGAGTGCAGTCATGTTCAAATTAGGATTGATCAAACATTCCAAATATAAATATACGAGACACTAACCAAGCGGACAACCAAAGGTTCCTCAATATTTGTAACGCAGCACTGAGTAACATGAAAATGAGGAACCATAGGGGAAATTTATACTTCATTGCTTCGAAATAGTCCATATAAACCGAGAATTTCACCTCAAATATGATTCATCTCGATCAATGTTTCAGCTAACAAACATCAACCAGGTGTTTCTGGCAAAAACATTCGCTTTCCATATTTTTAAG